GGTACGTGAGCACCAATGTTTTGAACTGGATGCGGGCGGCCACCGGTAGCCAGTGAAGAGAGCGGAGGAGTGGAGTAGTGTGGGAGAATTTCGGAAGGTTGAAGACCAGTCGAGCTGCTGCATTCTGAATGAGCTGCAGAGGTCGAATGGTGGTGGCAGGGAGACCAGCCAGGAGGGAGTTGCAGTAGTCCATACTCCGGGAGGCGGGAGATGACAAGAGCCTGAATCAGTACCTGCGCTGCCTTCTGAGTGAGAAGGGGACGTATTCTCCTGATGTTGTAGAGCGTGTATCTACAGGATCGCATTGTCGCGGTGATGTTGGGAGTCAGGGAGAGTTGGCTGTCGAGTGTGACGCCGAGGTTCTTAGCGGTCAAAGTGGGCGTTAGTACGGAGTTTCCAAAGTTGACTGTCAGGTCCTGGGTAAGCGAATCTTTTCCGGGAAAGAGAAGTAGTTCAGTCTTGTCGGGGTTGATTTTCAGATGGTGGGCGGACATCCACTGAGAGATGTCAGTTAGACAGGCAGAGATCCGAGCCGCCACCTGTCCGAGTGAGGGAAGGAGAGAGTTAGTTGGGTGTCATGACGAATGACAGCGCCAAGAGAGTTGGTGTAAAGCGAGAACAGGAGTGGACCCAGCACGGAACCCTGAGGAACTCCAGTAGTAAGAGGAGAAGGTTCCGACACAGATCCTCGCCAGGTTACCCGGTAGGTGCGGCCGTCGAGGTAGGACGAGAGAAGGGAGAGAGCAGAGCCTGTGACACCAAGTTCCTGAAGGGAGGAAATAAGGATCTGGTGGTTGACCGTGTCCAGACTGGTGGGGGTCAAGGAGGTTGTTACAGTGGAGATAAGAGGAGAGTTGATTAAAGATAGCACGTTCAAGGGTTTTGGACAAAAAGGGAAGAAGAGAGACCGGTCTGTAGTTGTTTTCTTCAGAAGGGTTGAGGGTAGGTTTCTTCAGGAGGGGGTTGACTCTTGCCTCCTTCAGAGAATTGGGAAAACAGCCAGATAACAGAGCGTTGTTGATGAGACAGGTGATGAACGGAAGAAGGTCATGTGCGATAGATTGTAGAAGATGTGATGGAATGGGGTCAAGAGGGCAGGTGGTCGGACGGGCAGAGGTTACTAGGGTAAGAATTTGGTTAGGAGAGAGGGCGGTGAAAGACGAAAGTGAGGGCGAAAGAGGTGAGGTCGGTGCGACGCGAGAAGTAGGAGGTGGGTTTGAGAAGGAGGAGCGTATGTCAGCTATTTTCTTGGTGAAGTAGTTGACAAAGTCTCCCAGAAGAAGGGGGGAGGGGGGAGGAGGGGTAGTGGGTTCGAGGAGTATGGAGAAGATCGAGAAGAGTTTTTTGGGGTTAGAAAATGAAGATTCGATTTTGGATTGGTAGAAAGAGCTTTAGGCAGCAGAGATAGAAGCAGAAAACGAGGAGAGGAGAGATTGAAATTTAAGCAGGTTGTCAGGTCGTTTATATTTACGCCATCTCCTTTCCGACGCTCGCATGGTGGCTCTCATGGCACGGACCGGTTGAGACAGCCATTCTTACAAGAGACCCTTTTTTTTACCCAGCTTAACATGTTGTCAATCTGCCCTCACTTGTCTCCATGCTTCTCATCCTCCCCACCCCCACTTTTCGCAGTGTACAACAACTCGCTAAACCCAGTGCTGGCGAAGGAAGACAAGAAAAAAAAAATCCAATAAAAAATGAGGCACTGCTCTCCTTTGACTCTTAAAGAGAGAGATATTCTTTAAACATGACACGTGGTTGATGTTTTCATTCCACCTGGACAACCTGTACCCTCTCTACCAATATGGATTCGAGATAATCGTCAATCAATCTTTTTTTTTTTTCTTCTTCATCCCAGGTCCGTGCTTCCCGTGCCTTGGGGGAGAGGGGGGAGGAGGGTAAATACACAAAGGGTGTGTGTGAATAATGCAAGTTTAACATTAAATGTCAGATCTAAGAATTCATCTCCCCCACCCGTCTTACTGGCATTTCCCCTTATGTTTTATGCATTTTATAATTAGCACAGGGAGAGGCGGGTAAGAGGGAGGCTTAGCAGTTATGGGGGATCACTTATTTCTGAGAAGGGATGGTGTTTGTTTTTTTTTAAGTTGCAGAGCTCCATTTGAAAGGCGAATCTCACAGATCTGCAGTGTGGAAAAGCCTGGGCAGGAATTGTCCAAATTCCTTTCACAACATTTTAAAATTAGGTTTGTGCTGTTGTGATCACGTTTGTTTTCTTATGTGTAGACCATGATTTGGTGGCATCGGGCCAATAGGCGGCGCTGAAAAGAATGACCGTCCTTTGCATACCATGACCACTGTCCATCCAATGGACTTCCCACAGAGTATCTAAGCTGCCATAGTGTTGAAAGCTATAATAGCAATAAACCCTGCAACATGCACTGTGCTAGTATTTGTAGAAGGAGGAAAGAAAACCTGTTTTTACTTTTAACTCGCTTTCTCATCCATGGCTTTTTCACCTCCCTCATGTTTTTTCCATCCAAAAGCCTTTGGCAGACACGTGCAGGTGCAGTACAGCATTACACTTTCAGTAAGAGAAAAAGGAACTTTACTTCAGTGCGTGTTTGGTTCAGCCTATTGTCCATGACTGAAAGGCACAGTTGATTTATTGTACGTCCCAACTTGTACAAAAAATAGTGATTTATTAAATCATAAGCTATCCAAAATTACTTGAGTTTATCTAATAAATCAAAATTTCCACTCCACCACTCGTGTCGGGGCCAAATTGCAACATTTTTAAAGATTTTGTAACTTATTTTCTTGTTTTTTAAAGTAGCAGTAGTTGTCTGATTCCGTGGTATGTGAGCTCAACAAAAGGAAAAAATGAGGAGTTCACCTGGGAACGCATTTGTAATTTGCACCAGCTTTACCTTTCCAGTACATGGAAACTGCATCAGCATACCGTCCCACCCATCAAGTTCTCATCCGGCTTGTAGTTGCATAAATACATTCGAAGATGACTTCGCTAATTGCCTCTTCAAACTGCAGTCATCTCTCGGTGCAGTGAGGGGAAATTAAAAATGCAGTGCCCTGAGTATTGTTTTTTTCTCTCATGTCTGAGCCTGCATTTATCCACCTGAAATTAAATTATCTAATTTGTTTGTACGATAATCAGGGAATACTAGGAATCCCAATCCACTTAAAGCATCCTGTATACGGCTTTATATATCCGTTCTGATATGCTGACTTGTCCCTAAAGACTCCACCAACCAATCCTGTGAAATGAAGGGCAAGCCTCGACTTTTTTGAAGGGCACTGTAGTCTTGAGAAGTGTCACCTCATGGAAAGTGTGAATAGTGTGTTCGTCTGCATCAAATAAGTATATATAAGCAGCCTAAAGTTTGGTTGCTGGACGCAGAGGACTCACACTTGAGCAAAGGTGTGATTTGGGCTTATGTATTTGGTTTGCGTGCTACTGACACCCGCGATCAGAATGAAGGCGAGTGATGACATCTCTATCCAAAGACACAAAGTATCAAGAAACCGAAAGCAGTTGGTTGTGTTTATGTGGCTTAAGCCTTACAGTGGTGGACAAATTCAGTGATCATGACAGCATTGAATGTCTTTCTTTTGTCCTTTGATTCAAATCATACCCCCTTCTGCCATGTTACAGTCTAAAGCCTGATTTATGCTTCTGCGTTTTCAGAGCGACGCAGACGCAAGACCCCCTTGCGTGTCCCTTGCGTCGCTTTTCACACCTCCTTGCGTCCTTGCATGTGTCGAGCCATTTTTCTAAGCCTCCCGCAGCGCACCAGGCTGCGATTGGTCCGCTAACTACATCCTTTACGGAGTCTCACATTTCCGCTTTCATAGCCCGATACCGCCATTATTAAAACGAAGGATGTTTACGAGAGAACGGATCCGATTTAGGAACTTTTGTCGGAAGAAATGCGCAAATATGACCGCTTATACAAGCCGTCATTGGCGGGTTGTAGAAGCGGGTTGGATTCACGGAGGGAGATCGCCACAAACGCTGGTTTGCCGGTCGAGGGGAACAAAGTTGTGGAGGAAAATACGGGACAAATGTGTCCGCGATGAAAAGCAGCAGTGGCGATGCACGGGGCAATAAAGTGTATGATAAATAAATAAACAAATAAATAAATAGACTCTCTAGGTCGTCTTCAACAAAACACATTACTGCGCCTGTTCTTCTGGCGGTGAATTGCTCTGCAACACACGCAGAACCATGAATTGGCCGAGGCAAACGCAGAAGCATCTGCCGGCCTTTAAAGTGTGACCAAATACTTTTTCTCTGTCACTTTTAAATTTCATCTGTATTTCTCTCCCTCAATTGTTCTGCACAATGTGTTCTTGATTTGAAGGCAGCATTGATATTGTGTCACATCGATAATTGCAATTGAACACGGAAAAAGTGCTACTGTAATACAACTTTATTGGCACTAGAATATCATTAGCACAATATCTTCTGTGAATCGGGCCATGATAGGGAGAAGATAACAGTTGCAAGTGATGTGCAACTCTTGGTGTTATCATTTTCCTCAAGGAATTTTTTGCAAATCCCAAATCAATGTGTTACTCTTTTTATCATAAAAATACTTTTAAAAAGCCTATTTTAAATCAACTCTGAACAGACAAATACAACTCAAAATAAAAAGAGTAAAGTGGACACAGTTTATTCTCGGGAGAGAGGTAGAACGTTATGTTACAATTATTAAAAGATACATGGGGCTAAATGGAGTGCAAATAGAAGTAGATTAAAGCTACTCTGGATTTATCTCATAGATTGACTACAATCATTATGTGCTTCTCTGGTATCCACGTAGAATACCCTTCAGATGCACATTTGAAACAGACATGAAGATGCTATGATTGGTGTTATTTTGATGAATTCAACTTTACAGTCCGGAATAATGAAGACCGCAACAGTATGTGGACATGAGTTCCAATCTATGACTGTGACTCAATTTAATGATTCCTCATGTAAGTAAAACCAAACTTTTTTGTCTTTTGTTGTTCAGGCCAGTGGGAGGTAACTGTCAGAAGAAATGCCGGTCCTAGGTGCCCTAGTACATCACCACCTGGACCATGGCGACACACTGGCCAATGAGAAAAGAGAGATGCTCCCATGGCTCTGCCTGCCTTGCTAGATGGCCGGCGTCCTCATTGATGCTTCTATGGTTGCCGTGGGTGTTGCTATGGCTGCCGTGGACTGCCCGAGCTGAACAAGCGGGCAGTGGGAAGGTTCTCCACGGTTCTCTTTCGTCCCCCTCGTCCTCATCTTCCACATCCAGCTCTTCAGCATGGGGCTTCAACACAAGGCACAGTGGGGGGCAGCTGGACTGGCTGCTGTCGGAGAAGGGACCTTTCCACAGATGTCCCGAGTACACAGAGTTCAGAGAGAGGTTCCAGCAGGGATTTTCTACCAGATACAAGATTTACAGGTGAGACCGGCCAGTGTGTGTGTGTGTGTGTGTGTGTGTATACTGACCTTCATGTGTAAAATTGAGTATCGAGAAATGTCATGGATGCAAATGCACAGTGACAGCGGAACATATTGTTTAAATGGTTCACGAAGGCCCACGAAGAGTACAATTTTCCAGTGTTAAACAAAAAGGGGGAAAAGGGTACATTTGGAGAAGATGAGTACGGACACTTTTTTGGTAGCGTAGTGGTGTAGTTGCCGCATAAATATTAGTGTCTAGTCAACTACAGTCCAGGCTCCAGCGTTAATGTTGTCCCCTGCCACCATTATCAATGTTCCAAATATAATGTCCAATGTGATAGACACATGCTCAGTCGGCTGCGGCAGCAATTTGAATTTTCATTTCCTCTTAGGAAAATAAGTGGAATAAGATTACGTTTTAACACCTCCCTTTTCCCTTCAAGACGTTTTAAGTCAGGACTTGAACCACCAACCTTGTGCTCCCCAGCACACCCTCTCTACCCCCTGCGCCACAGCAACAATCAAACATCCGCGCGAGCAAACCTCCGTCTCGCGCGAGCAAATCTCCGTCTCGCGCGAGATATTTGCTCGTTCGCGAAACGTTAACTTCCTCGCTCGCAAGGTTAGTCTCTGCTGTCTTTCTTTTTGACAGTGAGGGGGCGGAGCCAGTCACCATGGTATCTACATCTGATTGGTTACAAACCCTATCTTTGGATTGGCTGGAGTGATGCATTCACAAAACTATGGAAGCCCATTTCTGCACTAAAGAAAGGGGGTAGAAAGTTTCCTAATATAACAGGTGGAACCAACCAGGAAAAAGTTACATTTAATATGTGATTTAATTCGAATTTAGAACAATTATTTCACATGACCATACTTTAAACAGAGACAACTGTCCTACTCACCGGTGAGTTTCTTCGACTGAGAGGGGCAGATTAACCAGAACACAAAATACCAATGCCGCGTGCCGACACACACTTAACCTACTGTGGGTAACGACACTAACAACATATATGCTTGAATGCGATAAACTCCAGATCAAGCTTAACACGCCCAAATAAATGCAACAAAAACATACAATTAAATTGTTTGTAAACCCATAACCAAAATGTCACTGCATATGATAAACATATTCCACAGTTGAAGTTCACTGTTTTCACATTCAGTTCAAAATGGTCGAGCCACGGTCCTCCACGTGTATTGAACTGGTCCCAAAAACATTACCGTCCCGGACACGTTGCTGCTCGTTGACAACGTGGAGTCATGTGTGGCAGGGTGTTACTCACAAACCACCGTCGGTCAGTGGCGGGGGAGAGGGGGGGGAAGAGGGCAGGTGAGCTGCGGGCACGTCGAGGACTGTAGTGGCGAGACGGCGGACTGTCCTTGTTCACTGGCGTGGTGAAGCCTTCAACGCTGGCGACGAACTAACAACGTAACCGAACTTTACGAGCTAGCGAGGACATTAGCCTGGGGCTACAACGAGCTACACTTTTTCACATCTAACGGATGATCTTCAGAGCTGGAGGTGTAGACTCCTCCTTCCTCCACACGGCCGCGCCGACCGTCACTCCTCCGCGACACGAACACTAACCCCAACAACCTAAACCTAAACTTGCAATCGACTGTAACTTCTTCTTAATCGAAGGTGCGCACCCCGGGCGCCGCCATCCTCTTCTCCGTTGTTCCTCGTCTTCTCCTTGTCCCGCCCCCTCCACTCTCTCCATTCGCCAGCGCACCAACTTTTCAGTCACTGATTGGCTGGACCTGTGGTCAAGTTCTGTGGTGCTATTGGGTGTGGAACTTAGGATTGATGTCCCAAAGTAATTGCAAGGGCTGCATATAAATAAATATGTCCACACTCTGGGTGTACCCCTACACTAAGAGGAAATGAAAATTCAATTAATTCATTCAATTATGAGATAAAAGGTTGTCAAAAAACAAACGCACCCCTTGGGTAATCGTAGTGGACCGTAGATGACAACCATCATTTACCATAATTTACCATGATTACCGGCACATTAAGAGCAATGCGCCCAGCTCTTAGACCGGTCCGTATTTGTAATATATCGGGAAAAAAAGTCTGAATCTGTGAATTTCAATACAGATCGACTTTTTGAAAAAAATAATAATGAGGTTGTAGTGAATGTGATATGTGATATATGCGCAGGCTCCTCCATAGTTCGGTAAAGTTGGCAAGATATTCAGATTCAGACTGACAGACCGGTTTGCGAGCTGGACGCATCTTAATGTGCCGGTAATGATGGTAAATGATGGTTGTAGCTGGTTGTCATCTACGGTCCACTAGGATTATGTTTGTTTTTTGACAATGATTTATCTCATAATTTCGACTTTCTATCCCCTTTCTTTAGTGCGGAAATGGGCTTCTACAGTTGTGTGAATGCATCACTCCAGTTGATTGATTTACGCTCGCGCATCAACCTGATTTTTCGAATTTTGACAGTGATTTGCCGCCATAGTGTTGATTAGTATTGGCGTCACACGACTCAACCAATGACAGCATTTGGGGGCGGGCCAAAAACTGCCAAAGTATTGGCGTCACATGACTCAACGAATGACAGCATTTGGGGGCGGACCAAAAACTGCTCACATGAACCAAAACAGAACTGGCGGTAACAGAAAAATGGAGATATATTTTGACAGAGATCATCCACAGGAAATCAAGTACATGTCACGACGAGTCGGCGGAAGTGGGTCTTATGCAGACGTCGCAAACAAAAAGTACTTTTATTAAAGTTAAAATCAAAATGCCTGGGGGCAAAACGTAGATCAGGACACGAGCAAACAAAACACATTCAATGGACTTGTACAAAGTAAGTACAAAGTGTCAATATATATTCCCATCAGTCTAGAAGTAGTGTGGGATTTTTTGTTAGTTTTTCTTGATGGCATAAGCAAAATTCTGATTTTGTTTTTCAAAACAGTACACAAAAATGGGCACAACTACAAACCCAATTAATAAAACACCTCAGATTCTTTGCAAAATTAAACACTTTAAAAACTACACACTAATTTAGCAAAACAATATTTTGTTACCATATGAAACACACGCGTTGCATATAAGTTAATTCTGTTTGTACCAGTTATACACTGCAATTCTACTCAGTGATTAGAGTAGTGTAAGTGAAGTACACAGAGAAAGAGCAAAACATCACCCGCATTTGCACCACCGTAAGCACAATGTCTGCACACTTTTTGCAAAACAGTACACACAGTGATTTCTAAACCACTACAGTAAGACACTTGTATACACCACACAAGACCAATGCAGCAGACTGATGAAAATATAGTTTACTGTATTTTTCTCCATATACTCAAATTAGTCAAGATGTCAACATGGAGATTCACAACAAGTTCCCGTTTATATGCACAACACCATTTCAGGCTCGGGCGAGACCATTACGGTCGACGGGGTGGCGGCGCTGACGGTCCGACTGGCAAACATAACATTGTATAAAAGAAATCTAAATCTAAAAAAAAGAGAAAAACAGTACAGAAAATGCTACACGTTGTCTCTTCATCTAGCTCGATCTGGCCTCCTCCTCTGGGGATTCCCCTCCGCCATCAGGTGCGCAAACCCAAGATTGCTTACGCCAACTACATTACAGGTCATTTAGCTGACGCTTTTATCCAAAAGCGACATACATTGCATTTTTAACCCATGGCATTTACATTTTTACAGCAGGGGACCCCAAACTTCCCTTACCCGAGCCACATCTACCAGCTCTGACTGGGAGATACCAAGGCCTTCCCAGGGAGACGCCAGTCACGCTCCTGAGGAAACCCATTTCAGCCGCTTGTACCTGTGACCCAGTTCACTTGCGTAAGGACACATTCCCTCTCCGGAGAAGGCAATACAGCGCTTTCGTGCTTAGAACCATGGCCTCAGATTTAGAGCTGCTGATCCTCATGTCAACGACTTCACGCTCGGCTGCGAACCGCTCCAGTGAAAGTTGGAAGTCACAGACAAAAAGATCCCATCAGGACCACATAATTTGCAAAAAGCAGTGATGAATTCCGCAGCACCCCGAGCAGTAAACCCTCCTTCCCCTGACTACGCCTTAATATCCTGTCCATGAATACCACAAACAGGATTGGTGACAAGCGGCAGCCCTGGCGATAGCCAAACCTCATCTGAAACGACTGCCTTACTGCCGAGCACCCGAACACAGCTCTCGCTTTGGGCGTACAGGGATTGCATGGCCCCAAGAAGGGACCTACTTACTCCATACTCCTGCAGCACCTGCCACAGTACTCCACCCGGTAATACGCCTTCTACAGGTTCACAAAACACATGTCGCCCGGATGAGCATACTCCCAGGCCCCCTCCATGATCCTTGTCCGTCATTCCATGACCACAACAAAATCTGCATTTTTTATCGTCAATCGGTGGTTTGATTATTGGCCAAACGCAACTTTCCAGCATATTGGGAGTAGACTTGACCAGGGAGGGTGAGACTGATGACCCTGTAATTGGCACACACTCCTTTGGTCCCCCCTTTTTGAAGACCACACCACCCCAGTTTCCCACTCTTTAAGTCTGGGACACTGCCACACACACACACACGTTGAAGAGGTGTGTCATCAAAGAAAGCCCCCCAACACCCATTGCTTTCAGCATCTCTGAACAGATGGCATTAATCCCCAGGGCCTTTGCCACTGCGTAGTTGTTTGACTACCTCAGTGACTTTTTCTGATGACATGTCGATGCAGACTTCCATATCCTTTTGCAGTGGTTTACTGTTACTTTTCCCTCAGTGACTAAGTAACCAGTATAACAGAATTTCAGTCAGAATGCTGAAATTAGGTCACTCATCACTGAGTGAAGTCCTAAAAGGGAAAAGGAATTGCCTCCATTAGAGAAACGATCAGTTCATGGTCAAAGCTGTCTAACAGTTTCCTGTCTGCTGCCTCGCATCTTTTCCTCCCTCCTCATCAGAGATTCATGGCCCTGTTTGAGTATGTGCATTCCTAATATGC